TCTATCAGTCTCTGGAGAATCCAAACTCTATTTACTCTGACCTAGGAACTGGAAAAGGAATTTGATGGTTCAAAAGGCTGCTGTAGGGGCAGCAAGGCACCCCTCTCTGATAGGAAAACAGTTTTCAGAATCTATACATTACACAAGGCAACATCTCTGACAGCAGGAGTAGCAGACAAATTTTTGTCTCTTTAACAAAGGCAACAGAAAAAGTTGCAGTAGAAAATTGGGAAAACTTGAATCTGATTTAATTACCCTTTTATTAGAAGGTCAAAAGTTGCCAGGAAGCTTACATTACTATTTCTTCAGAAAAAAATATTCTTCTGCAAACTGTTAGAATTGTTTGTGCTGAAATTGTTTAAAATCATATTTTAATGGAATTATTTGCTTTGACTTTGCTATGAGACCCCTGAATCTGAATTTCAAGAGTGACAGTTTTCTGTTCATTTTAAACAAATTTGTTTAAAACCTATCTTATGTGAGTGGCAGCCCCTTCCAAGCACACTGTTAAATGTTATAAACAGAGTGCTTAATACTTACAAGCTTATATTAAATTGAATTTGCAGCTCAGCTTTGAAAGAACAACTTCTACCCAGACTAAGCTCTTTATCCTTCAATAGTTCAAATGAGAAACTTAAAGCAAGTACATATAATGTATTTCAGATCTGACTTTATTGTTTCTGTTAAAAATGTGGCTTGTTTGTCCTTTTCTCACAATTAGATTTTGTCATACCTTCACCTGACAGGCTAAGGAAACTTTTATTATTTTGCATGTGCAAGAATACTTGTAAATGCCCCCCACCCCCTCCAAGAACAAAATGTACATTAGATGTTTAATGCCTTTTTATCAGGTCACATTCGTATGGATGAAATGGTCAAAACTAATGAACAATCTATAATTCTATTCGGGATTTTGGCACTAGCTGTAAATCTATTTCATCTCTAAGCACAGAATGGGACAAGTCACATCACAGGCACTCAAAAGCAGTGTAGCTTTACTGCTGTTATGATGGAGTGGAATAAAGAGACTGCATCAGAGGGTATCCACCCTCCATCAGCAACCATACACTCCCTGAAATTAAATCAGTGCTACCAAGAACTGCCTTGTGTATACATGTATGTAGAAGTTTTAATGCATCTGTTAATGGAATTTCCCTAAGAATTCCCTCAGTGTTAGAGTCTCCTGATACTAAACAGCTGGACTACCTGTTGTAGTTTTTTGCTAAAAGCCTGATTTGAGACACCTTAAGAAAAATAGTGAACACGAGTTCTGTTATTAATCAGCACAAAACTTTTAACACTCCATTTCATCTACTGGTCACAGCTTCAGTACCAAGAAAATCTGCAGGAATATGCCTCCGGTTTGGCAAGATGGTGAAGTTTTCTTCCTCTACACAAATTTCCTTTATACTAATATTAACAAAACTTTTGTAGTGAGATAAAATGAGGTTCCACTTTGTATTTCTTGGCAAAGGCTTAAGCTAACATCCATTAAGAGAAAGGATTATTCGTATCATTCTCTCTAAATCAGGGGAGCAATTCTAGAAACAGCAAAAATAAGTAAAAAAAAATCGGCACCAGGTGAGATTTTATGCTCTCCAAGTAAACTATTATGCATAAAAATAATTTATATTTAAATTATATTATTATATTTATAAAAGTAACTACAAAAATGAGTATTTCTTCATATACAGACTGTTTTCATTACATTAATCTCTTTTATTCAGTCCAATACATTTGACTTCTGTCATGTTCCTGTACCACATCCTTTTTTCCCCCCAAGCTACATCTGTTTTCCTGTTTTCTCATCTCCAAGAAATTTCTGGGTTATCTGATTACCTTTTCATCTGGACAACTGTCATCATCCAGTCAGTGCTCTTTTTGGGAGAGCAGCATCTGATCCACATCTCCTGTTGAGGACCAGCAGCTCACCCAGGATGGGGCTCCCCAGTCCCTCTCCTGTCTGCCACTGACCCCCAGTGGTTTCACCTATATTTGCTCTGCCTCACTGTTCACAGACTGCTGCTGCTACTATGGAATGGTGCTTGGATCATGCTAGGATATCTGGAAGCAAACAAGACCCAGCATCTTGATCACTGTTTCATGGCCATCAATCACAGAATCAAAGAATGATTTAGGTAGAAAGGAGCCTCTGGAAGCCATCTGTATCAATAAGCCCCGACTGGAGCAGTTCAGACTGCTCAGGACTTTATTCAGCTAGATCAAAATTCCACAGACTCTGAACAGTCTGTTCCAATGTCTGTTACTCTCAATGATAAAACATTTTTTCCCTTATTTATTTAGAATTCCCCTTGTTACAACTTGTGTTCAGATCCAACTGGCTCAGCGACACAAGCTAAAGAAAGGAAGAGGCAGCTGTTCTCACAGAAGAGAATCCCTCCTGAGACACTGTCCAATCTCCCTGGCAAAAGGAAATGTTTAGTTATATAAGTCTGATCTTCACATATCTGTACCTTTGTGTACTGGCAGAAAGAGATCAGGTCCCGACTACACCATAATTTCACTTCTAAGAAATAAAGTTTTAAACAAAAAGAAAACCCCAAAAGGTCACTTCTTGAACAAGAGCACCTGTCAATTCACAAAACCTCACAGAGTTTTTACCTTTAGACTTTGTTATGCAGTATACAAAGCTCCCAGATGAATACTTGCAGGTAAGTATTCTTTCTACAATAACATGTGTTTCACTACTGGAAGACACTTACCCTACTCTATTTTTAACTTGAAAGATAATCTAATGAAATTTAAGCATTTACATAATGTGATTTTAAGCTAACTATTATTTAAATAATTGCTGATCAAGCACATATAGTTTCAAAGAACAATAACAAAAAAATCTTACTGCATATGACAAAATTTCAATTAACAGAATCATCTAAATTTAACTGTATAAATTGCCCATAATTTTTTCCAATATTATTGGTTCAATCAATAAAGCTAACATTCATCTTAAAGTTTTCTATGCATGTCATACTTGTAGCTCTACCCAATATTAAGCAAAAAATCAACTATTTCATCCTTAAAGCAGTACATATAATAAAAATATACCTGAATGCAGAGTATTTGGTAAGATCTGAGCTGTCTTCAATGTTCCATTGGTTTGTGTTGATTTTAGGGCCAGTCTAACATTCAGCATGCCAGCAACAATGAATAAGCCTAATGCATTACGTAAGTGTAAGCTGATTAAATCCTTGATCCTGAAGCCACCTCTTTTTCCCCCCTCCCCCTCTGATTTAAAACTTAGCATAATTGAAAATCTTAGTTTTAAACACTTCCAAAACCTGATTTGTATCATTTTTAACATGAAAACCACTACAATTTTACATTACTATAATGCCTTCAGGTTTTAGTCTTCTATTTTCATAAACCTGGTATTTAATATACTTCATTTCCTAAACCTGGTAAAAGTCCTTTTTAAAGTGATCAGTTCCCCAACAAATTTTAATTTTGGGGCCAACTTTTGGGATTTAAAAAAAAAAGAAAAATAAGTGTCCTGAATGGAATGAAGATAGAAGTTTTATTCAAGTTATCAAGTCTGAGCTTTGCCCATAAGAACTCATAGCAAAATCAATTCAATACAGAGCCATGATATCATAAAGCTTAGCCCTGTCAAATGAGACTGTAAGGCTTTCTGCACATGCTAGTCCTGATTTCCAAATGTACTAGATCTCAAATGTAGTATCTGAGCTACAACCCACATGGAGGAATAGATCAGGGGAGGTCATGAAAGAGTTATGTTCCCCCAGCAGTTCACAGCACCATGATCTCACTACATTGTCAATATGACAATGGCAGCAGGATAAACGGATCTATGCAGCAGAGGATACCAGCCAGTGTTCTCTACAGAAAAGGAACGAGAGCAATACATGATTAACTGTTGTGAATAGGGAAAAAAATTCCTTCCCCTAGGTCCACATGCCATACACAAAACAAGCTGCAAAAAGCTGCAAACTGACTGAACAACTCTGCTACATGGGAGTGTGTGTGAATTTTAGATGTTAATTATCAGGCAATATACAAGCAGAGAACTGCTGAATCCACACAATTGTTTTAAGATTCTCAGCTTGAAAAAACTGATTTGTTTGCTTTTAAACTTTTAGTATTATTTTACTCTGAGGAAGAACCATGTGCACATTTGTAAAGTGGTAGTGCTTCATTGGGACAATTTAACTATGAATTGGTGAGTTCAAACGTTTTTATTGAAATTTTTAAATATCTAAAAATAGCTAACTACAGCTGAGTGTCTTGGTAAAGGCAGCAGAATGGTCCTGAACAAACAAGAACAGACTATACTTTGTAGAATCTTCATTAGTATTGAAGATGAGACAAGAGAGAAGAAAGTAAAGAGAGTTTCGGCTCAGGAGTAGAAGGCTTTTAAGTCATGTTAATTTTGAAAGAGATACACTAGAGTTTTTATGTATAAAAGAAAAAATATTCAAGCCAGGAATCACAGGTTGCCTATAGTATGAAATTTGTATTTTAAATTAGAAACCTAGTAATATATAGTTAAAAAAACTCCATGTGTAGAAGTGAATCAAGTGCATAAAAATAGTATAAAGTGATGGCTCTGAGAGGTATGCAAGTTCTTCTACCAGCAGTTGAAAACACCCCCATTCATAGATATATCCTCATATTTCAAATATAATGGTATGTCATTAATCAGTATCAGTGAAAGAAAAGATATGTGGACAGGCAATATAAGTGTGAAAGAATAATGCAGCTTGTTTTTACTTCACACAGAATTAATAAAACAGATGAGAACACAAATTAAGACTCTGGGGCTTCTCAAACGAAGTAATTTCTTTCTAGACAGAAAATTCAGAGTAATTGATGAAAAAGACACATTGTCCCATCCACTTTCGAACAAACTCAAACCAAAACCAAAAGCAGTTCCCATCAAAACACACCTTGAAAAGTAGTAATTTTTAAAACACAAAGTATTTGAGTGGTGTTGATCCAAACCTTTAAGATTTATTACATACCCCATTCTCAGTTCGTTTCTCCACAGGTATATTTATGCCATTTCTTTGATTTTGGGCTTGACGGCCACCTAAAAGTAAAGCATCACTCTTAGTAAAAAGTTTGGTTTTCAACACAAATGCATTTTACTCTCGAGTCTGTTCTCAGATGTTCTGAGAATCCTATTCAAGAATTTGTATCAAATTTTTACCTGTGAATTTTTATTCTGCTAGTTCCAACTCTTTCTTACTAAAGTTACTTTTTGTAAGCAGTGAATCAGCAGAAATAAAGCTTTTACTTCACGGAATTCCTCATTTAAAAGTACAGACATGCAGCTCTATTTTCCTGACTTCTCTTTAGGCAAAGATGTCATGAAGGGCAATGTACTCATATTTTGTGCCCATGAGAAGCAGTAGCTTCAACTGAATACATTATAAATTAGCATAATAGAGGAAGCTTTTCTAATGTCTAACTTATAAAGAACTTTAATCTAGAAATCGATCCATAGCCCAATGATGAATTAAAAAGCCTTGCATGCACGGTTCAGAAGCAATGCTTTCATTGTACATTGAAATTCTTTGGCTTTAAGCGTATCTTAAATTTCTTAACATACTTTGTATTGCTCAATGGATAACAGACTATTTTACAAAGTACCCAATTAATACAAAATTCCCTCACACATTTTTGGGTCTGCTACTTCTGCACCCAAAACAAGCAGGAACCACTTAAAAATAAGAGAAGAAGCCTCAGCTGAAAGCAATAAGGACTCGGCAAAGACTTGAAATCCTGTTGTTAAAAGTAGTCACATTAGTTGAATGAGTCAGGATAATCTGGGCATACAAACACACCTCACTGAGACACCTTTCCTGTCCTTCAGATAGTCTGACAGCCATTAAGTTTATAATGCACAGACTCAAAACTCTTCTCATAGATTTATCACGACTACTAATATATCTATATGGAGGACTGAGAAAGCAAAGGCACTAAAACCTCTGCCAGTGATGTCTGTAAAACAGATTTGAATTTTTAAAAGAGGCAAAGGAGTTTACCAAGTCCTTCTCTGTGCAACTGAAAGAACAGCAGTTCAAAAAGACCCATTCTACCCTCTCAAAATGTAGGGACTTTGTCTCAACAAGAAAAAATTACATCAAGTCCCTAATATACACCAACTTTCTTGGATCCAAATTAAGCAGAATACAAACAGATCTTGATATTACTCAACAGATTGGTAGAAATTATTCTAAAGAAGCAAACTGGAGAATAAGAATAGAGATGCCCTTGTTCAAATGGCTCAAATGGTTCAAAATGGCCTTGGTATGCAGAAGTTCTATTACATATAACTACTGAAAGCTTGCTGAATGATCTCACTTAAGAAATCTTTTAAATCTGTTCAGTAACAACACTGCAGGATGAATGTACTTACTCTGTTCATTGCTTTCAGCTGGTGACTCTTCATGACGAAGAAAAAATTTTACTTCTTCCCTGCGGGGCCCCCACTTCTGTAGGTGGTCATACATCATGTGATCAAAGGGTATGGGGCGCTCTGCAAGTACAAGACCAAAAAAACTCCATCACAACTCCTTAAAATCAAGCAGGGTTATACAAAACTCTTATTAATGTTCAGAACCATGCTTTTTGGTTTAATCTATCCAATGTTATTTGTCTTACACTAAGTCTAAGACACAGGCACCAACTGGATGTATGGTATTAAAAGCTGGCCTGTTACTCTAACACAGCTCACTGCTCCACAGCACTACAGAACCAGCTTACAAATCCATACCAGTGTTTAGGAACCCTAATTAAGGAAATAGCAACTTTGCTTCCCATCACCACCAGATGGGCTATTTGTTCTATTATTAAAATAATTCGTTCAATTTGAACCTCTGGGTTTCCAAACAGACAAAAAGCCTTATCATTATATTGACATTTCCTCTCCTAAGAACTTGATCAGGTACTCCCACTTTAACACACTTTGCCAGACACTAACTTCTAGTATGTATGGAATTACTGGCAACTCCTTGAACAAATAACAACTAAGTCTATGCAATAGTAGTTCTCTCTGCTTTTCCCCAAGGAAACATTTGCATAGAGTAATTATTTCTTCTAAATTGATCAAATATATTGTTAGTAAGAGGCTGAACACTATATATTTAGCATTTCAAAATGAAAATACGTTTAAGAAGACAAATTTTTCACTGCTTCCATAATTACATATTACATTTATTACCAGATGTTTTTATTAAGATAATAAAATCCCTGGTTTTAGATCTAATACTAGCTAAGGTACCAAAATGCATCTTCTAACCAGAATAAAATTGTATCATATACTATACCTTGTTGTTAAAAGCTACATACTTTTGGCCTCCAAAACCCAAACCGCGCTATCTCCTACCAGAAAAAACACCACTAAGTTTGTTATCCCTTTCATATTTCACTCATTTGATATGAGAAGACAAAATGATTCAAAGATGTAAGAGAAATCTTGGGAAAGGCTTGGGAAAACCAAATCACAAATATACCTTCATGTAATGAAATTTTCCTAAATTTATATACATTATGAACTACATAGATGTACACATCTTGATACTCTTGAGATACTTAACTGCAGTACTTAAAAGCACAATACATTTTTATCAATTGCTTCACAATACACTTAATACAATAAACTTCTGTTAAAATATATCATGTCAAATAGGTATGTGATTAGCCACAATTAGATCTAGCTGCTTTCAGTGGAGAAGGGTCATTTAAACCACAAGCTAATTATATTGATTAGGTGGTTGATTACTTACCATTCTTTAAAAAAAAATCAAACCAAACCAAAATAAAAAAAAAACCAACAAAATACCCTGCCCCCAAAAAAATCCCACTCCCCCAAACCAAAACACAACAGCTGTGTTTAAACAATAGATGCTTTGCTTCACTTCTTCCTGCTCCTCACTCAAGTGGTGTCCCAGAAAGATTGTCAATAATGTTTAAGCACACAAGAATAAGGTCAGTGACTTATTACTACTCAGTTCTTGAAATGGAATTTTAAAAGCACGATTTTCAGGTTTTTCAACTTCTAAAGTAAAGTAAGGTTTCAAGTGCTTTGAAGCATATCCACTGAAATTGCAGCAGGAGTCTTCTAAAGATCACTGAATGTAAAAATATTTAAGTGGTTTAGTTCAGAGACTTTAAGAACAAGATATGAATCTTTAGGAATTTCTCTCAAACAGAAAAACTGCTAGGCAAACCCAGCTGTAACAGGGCTGGGATAATTCTGGAATGGTGAGGAGTAGCTGCAGCTTCACTCCTGGTTGAGCTGGTCTCCCATTAAAAGTAAGGCTCTGATCTCAGGAGCTAGTCAAAGTAAGAGCTGTCATTTACATAATGCACCTTCAATAACTAAGACTAATATTTTTCAGACAATGACAATGGAAAGAAATGGCGAAGATGTTTTCTAGCAGTTCTTCCACAAAACCAGTTTGGGATGTTATCCTAAAGTGGATAGAAAACAGGTTAAAGTAGTAACACCATCATCAACATCACTGAAAGAATGAAAAGAAAGATGAAGCAGCACTAATCATTCTGTGCAACCTGGCTACATGAAACAAATTCAGGAAACAAAGAGGAAGAAATAATTGACATTAACACTCAGCACAAGACATGATGAGAATTCCCATTCCTTCCTACAGCTTAAATCCTTTAAAGAAGGAAGAATGATTTTCTATTTGAAGTACAATAGCACAAGACATACTTTCTGAAAGTTCCTGTTGTTTAAGAACCAAAATCAAATTAAAACAAAGAGAAAAACTACTGTTAAATTTTTCCCGATTGTTATAGCTTCAGAATATTTATCAGTAACTAGTTTCTCAAAATTATTTCAAACTTTAATTTTAATTTTTAAAAAAAATTAAATAGGAGAAAGCATTCTGAGAGTGTGAAGAAAATGTTAAATAGGAGAATGGGGGTAGAGTAATAATAAAAAGCTGGATCCTTATACTTTAGCAACACATCAAAAATGATCTAGAGAAAATTTGTTTTCATGAATAACCAAGCAGAAAACCATGATAAATGCATTTTAAGTTGGATCAAGACTAAAATATTTTTGAGAAATGAGCTATACTCGCTTACTTTTACTTAAAAGTTTAGAGAATGGGTTAGTTTTAAGTATTCCAAAACAAAACACCTTGTAAATCTAAAACACAGATACTGCACCAATGTTTCAAAAAAGAGTTGCAAAATTCTTCTGGTGGAGCTACAGATCCACTACTTAAGTTTCAGTCTTCAAAACCTGTTTTATCCTGACTTCAAGGATCCTGCTATGTGAAATAAATACATTCATGCCTGCTCTACATGAAACCAGAATAAAAACTAATGGATTTACTCCATAGGGGAGTTTGCTGCAATATCTGGAATGAATGTTTCCCTGCTCAGGTTCGCAGAGGTACACTCAGAGTAAGAAACTATTTCTTTCACACTCTCTTGCCTCCTATGAGGCACTGAGGAATACCAGTTATGACCAGTTGCTGAAGGGCATTCCAGATGTAAATGAACTGAATAATTCAGTACTGGGTGGATTTAATGGTTGAAATGAATTCTCTCTTAGAACATACTACAAGTTCCTGGCATCACACCTGTCTTTGGACCCTCCTTACTGACTGCTATTTGCAATAACAAGAGAATGAGGAACATTCTGGTTTTGTCTCCTGTTACAGCACGACAAATCCTTGCAAAAAGAGGAAGCTTTAAACTGACAAAGCACAAGGTGGTTTAAAACATACTGATACATCAGGCACAAATGCTATTGGCTTTTTCAACTACTACTCATCTCAAGAAACTGGCAAGGAGAAGGAACAGAGAATGAAATACCAAAATCAAATGTCAATAAATGAAATGCTTAGGCCATGCAGCTTCAAGAAAAATAATTTTCTTGACTCTAATGCAAACAACACCTGAACTATTTTACAATTCTTGTGAAGCCCTCAACCATTTCTTTGTCACACAAAATGAAAGAGATAAAAACTACAATAATAACTAAACCAATACGCTTTCCAGGAGCGAAGCTATTGTAATCTTCCTCTTCACTGTAGAAATCTTACATAATTTTTGGATTTTAGTAACATTTTTCTGGAAGAAAATAGGTCTCTTATCCTTTAAAAATAAAATCAAGTGTTTATCATCTACTTTTACATACACATTCAAAACAGGAAGACTATTAAAAGAGACAGTACTTTGTTAGAGCAATACAGTTTAGAAAGGCTATTGGGCATACAAACTGTTATTTGTACCTGATGATAAGATTACAATCCACAAGCCCCAATGCTTTGAATTTGAATAGACATGCATTATTCAGCTGGGCTACCTAAAAGAAGCCGTGGCTATCTGTAGAGCAGAGAAGTTAAGCACATTCACAAGAGGCCAGGTATATTCTCTCTTGTGGAGGGAGGTATAATTTGTCATTTGTGCCACATGGAGAGACTGCCAGGAAAACACTGGCACTGTAGGACCACTTACGGTGTGTGACAAAAATCTATGTTTTTCAGCCCATGATTTGCTGTATTAACTTTGGTTTTGAATTTTACTTTCCAAAATGTTCTCTGAAAGAACACTTGCAGATCACTTGAGGATAACGGTAAGGGATCAGAGACAGTGGAATAGCAGAGATAAAATATGCTTTTCAACTGGCACAACATGCAGTAGTTTTACTGTAAATTGCCTCACACTTCCCACTCAGAACCATAGTTTAAAATTTGTTGTTGTAACTGTCACATTTAACTGTTCAGACTCTTGTTTTCTACATCAGATCTCCGCTCCAGGCAGAATTATTTTTAAAAACTTCAGTGGAAAAAGTTAAATTTAGCTCTCAGAAGAAGCAGAAGGAAAAATTATCGTATATATGCTCAGGTTTTTCCACTGAGACATCTATGTACACTAGACTTTAGGTCAAGAAGCTGAGGTCACAGATTTTGTAACAGCATCCTACATTTAAGAAGAATGAAATAAACATTTGTACTGAAAGTCCCATAGGAGAGCCTTAAAACCAGTGTGCAGGATATCATTTTTGCTGACACTACAGGTGTGTTCGAGAGACCCAGAAACATAAGCAAGTGTTTTATTTTTTCTTTCATTTCCTCCAGTATTTTCTATTCCACACTTTCAGTTGAATAGATCTATACAGTTATCACCTTGGGAATTTAGCAAGTCAAGCTTTGTGAAAGCATCTTCATATGAGTTTTACCAGAAGCTCGGAGTTAACAACAGGTAGAAGCTCTGGGCAGGCTTCTACTCCTTCACTTAAGTGTCTGTATGTAGATCCCTGCTTCAGAAAACTGGGTGAGGTCCAGTGCTCAAAATTAACAGAAAACAACCAGCTAAAATCAGTCATCTCCTTGTTCTATTCACAGTAATATCCAGATCTCCACTGACTTTAATGGGATCAAAGAAAGATAATTTTCCGGGTAAGTACCCAAAATCTAGTCTTAGTCCCTCCATTGCAACTTCATGGATAAACACGATTTCCACTTTACAGAAGCTTGTAGCTTTCAATATCTAACACTTTGAGAAATAAAGTATTACACCCACAGAAAATATTTTCTCAGTATTAAAAGGTATCATAGAAAACCTGTGCTTCTAAGATCCAAGGTTTGCAAGGTTTAAGTGTTCCAGGAAGGAACTGTGGATCACTTTTCCAGTTTCTGGTCACCCTTTAAAGCTAGTTGACAACATTCTTTCCTACTTTTTTTTTAAGAAGTACACCTTCAAATATTGTGAAAGAAAAAGAATAAATAACACCACGTAGGACACTTTCATAGGCAAGGGATTGGGAAATATTAGGAATATCTGAGTGTTGTTGAAGTCTGCAGATCCATTTTAGAAATGTGATGCATTTGGTATTATAGACTCCATAACCTCAATTTCCAATTTGAAGAAATTTTAACCATTCTTTAAGTTCTATCCTTAAAAGCAAGTTGTCTAACTAAGTGTATACTGAATTTTTTTCTAGAATTGCAGGCATACAATTCTCAACCTTTCCCTTGTTCGTGCTTGCCTAAACTGAGTTTCCACTTAAGTAGGGAATAAGTAAAGTAACTTCTTCAGGTACCTTTTCCTTTTACAAAGTCTTAGAATAGTTTAGAAAAAGATAAGGTATAGTTTTCCTAGGAGGAAAATATTCTGGACTGCCAATATGTAAAGGTTCCAAAGGCATCTGAATAATGCCTGTTGTGTCTGCCTGGCAAAACAGGCCCCAGTCAAAATAAAACACCTCTATAGAAAATTTAAGAATTCAGTATCAAGTTATGATCTCATCAGTCTTTATACAGAACAAATTACACTAAAAAGAGGTCACTTTGATAACTAAAAGACAAGAATGGGGGATTGGAACTAGATGATCTATAAGGTCCCTCCCAACCCAAACCCTTCCATGGTCCTATTTTATAATTCTATGAACATGTCTGTTATCCCCATCCATCCACCAATTCTACTTTCATCCATGCATTGATAAATGATAACCTGGAGGTTTGTACTACATGCAACTACAAGAATCCATTTAAAAAACAAAATCTACTGTGCAAGGATTTTGACACATTCCTGAAAAAAATGCCCCCCTCATTATTCTGTGAAATTGCAACACAAATACGATATGGACACTACTACCCACTCCAAGAGAGACTGTCAAATCTTTAAGAGGAAATGTTCATGAATGGGCAAGAGATACTAACTATGTCCCATTCTGCCACAAGGCTATCTGCAGAGCAACTGCCATTTCATGATACAAAAGGGAAAAAAACATCTATACCCTTTCTTAAATTTTAACTAGTGCTCCCATGGCTAGCAGTGAGGAAACGGGTCTGGAAAGAATGCAAGTGGTGATCTGCACCCACTGACTCCAAAAAAATCATCATGAGGCTCCCTGCTGTCATTTAAATACCCTCCATACTACTAGAAAAACAAATACAGAACACGAACAAGCCTTACCCATGCATTTTATCAAATGCTTCATGTTGAGGAAGAAAACAGAAAAGAGTCAAGAATTACATTAATCTCTACAGTTATTTGAATTACAGTCCTTTGTGTCAAAGTCTACTAGACTAGAAGAAAAAAAGAAGAGTAAAATATGCAATTGAAATAATTAGTATTGAGAAGTCAATCTTTTTTTATAATTGGTGCACATATTAAAATCAATTTCCAGTGAACATTTTACTTACCATTTCCACGCCATACTTCAGCCAGATGGCAGCTTCCTTCTCCAGGCTCTTTGCAGAACTCCACGACATCGCGACAGGTTGTTTCTGGTGTAATTGGAACTTCTGTCAGAATCTGTTCATTGTTGCTCAGAAACACAGTTAATATCATCTGAAAGAAATAAAAAGAAAAGTAGCAGAATATTAAAAAAAATATGAGACAAAAATAAGATTATGGGTCATTTTTTTCCCCTCTGTAAATGGAAATGTATTCCTAGGATTGGTTATCAGATTTCAAAGTTGTTTTCAGTCCCCTGTAACTTCGACAAAGATTTAGTCCTTTGTGGTTTTGGTTTTTTGGGTTTTTTTTGACAGTACATAGAATTGACAAAATTTTTTAATAAAAGCTTGAGTTGAAATGCTTTAGTTCTGTCTGAAAATAAGGTTGAAAAGAAAGGAACAAGTTTCAGCTGTTAGACGCTTGAAATCATAGCATTTAAATGTTGAAAATAAATGTACACTTTGGCAAAGTAACCAGAAGCTTCAGGATGTACTCAAAGATAAGTATTCCTAAAATGCACTAAATACTCTGAAAGACACCTGACCCTATGCTCCTGCTAAAAATTAAATTAATCATTTTATACATTCTCTCTGCACCCTAATTCCCATCTGTAGTCACAAGACTGTTCTGTAAACAGTGGATGGAAAAGAGAGAATATCATGTTTTAGAAGGCAAAAAATACCGTAACAGTAAGTGTCCCTAAAGAACGTGATAAAATTAGTAACTTTGCCTGCAACGAAAGTTCTTCCAGATTTTTCTCATAAATAAAATGTGGCATCACATACTGAACCTAATGACAGTTCTTCATTAAATGAGCACTCTCCAGGTAAATAAAAGTTGTGCTTCAATTTGCATAGGCAACTCTTAAAAACATTGGTAACACTTTTATCTGTGGGACACATACATCAGCCAGACTGGAGACTGACATTAGTAACAGCTAGATACTGAGTGAGAGCAGTCTGTCTACTTTAGAAATAGACACAGGACAAATTCCAAGAAAGCCCAGGCTTCAAGCTCTCCTCAGTCCTCCAGGCTATTTCAGTTCAGCCTTCTACTCTCCCTCAGCCTGCCAAGTTTGCATGCTGTGTCCTGAAGTTTTCAAGTACCTACACTTCAACACAAGAACCAGTCAACCAGAACCGAAAATGTACCAGAATTCACCCCCGAGTTTTTCCAGCAGCAGCATAAAGGAAGCCATGGTAAAAGTTATAATACAAGCTGGAGGAGGCTACAGGATGCAGCCAAGAGACAGCAATGAGTGCCTGTGACCACGTACTGTAAACAGCTCAAAACATTATTGTTCCTCCACCAGAAGATTCAGACAGCCTCAATATCCAGTGACTGTGGTTATATAACAAGTAACTGACGTTGAATCTACTAGTGGAATTTGACCTCATATTTAAGAAGAAAGAGTCACACACATGAACGTAAACCAACAGGCTTAGAAGAAACCTTAAGAGGTCATCTAATGCAGTCTCTTTGCCTCAGGCAGGATAAACTATACCTGCATTATTCTGCAGAGATGCTTGTCTAACCTGTTCTGAAAAGCCTTTCATGATGGAAATTCCACCACTTCCCTAAAGCCATCCACCCTAGAAATCCAGGATTCCTGTTGCAAGAGGAAGTTTCTTAAAGTCTAGTTAAAGTTTTCCTTACCACCATTTAAACCCCCTAGCTCTTCTAGCCACAGGGGAAATAGAAAACACTTTTCCCCCCCTCTTTTCATTTTCCCTTCACAGTTAAATTTAAGGAATGTGCAATATGTAAGTAAATTAAGTAATTTAAAATAAACAACACCAGTTTAACAAAGTTATTAGTGCCAGTATTCCAGTTTCCCCACAGCACTTTATAGCAGTTTCAGAACAAACCCAAACTTCGGAAACTTTTTGAAAATATCCAAAGACCATGACTTTACTGCCTCATAATCATTTGTGTCGAAGACCTGTTTTCTTGGTATGAAAGAATATATAAAATGTCTTAACATCATGTGATTTTACAGTTTCCAGGTTTTGATTTTCTTATTGCTGTAAAAGTAACACTGGCCAAGAAAACTTGTTTCATATCTTCAAGATTATACATCTGATTCTGCAGACACACTGAAATAGAAAGAAAAGCCTTATAGGTATGAGTTATCCTATTTATCTCAGTCACTTCTCCATAAATTCTGATCTCAAGCACTACATAAACTCACAGTCTCCTTGGCAACACCAGGACAAAGTTTGCTGTACCTCAAGCACATCACTTGACTCCCTCAGCTCAGAGGGCATCAGTATTGTCTTCTGCAAAGCTGGGTGTCACAGTTTCAGCCCAGGGAAAGGTATCTCACTAATGAGGAAGTAAGATGCTGCAGCCAACTATTGGTGTAACACTCCTCAAGGAAACTTGATTAAGTAAAGATTTATTTTCAGACAGGTTGTCTGAGTAATACTAAAGGAACCGAAACACTCTGCTCCAAAACAAATCCTGAAACATACACACTCGAAATACTGAACATTATTATAATGTTAACTATAGATATATTGCAATATTAATTACATTTTCAAGTCAGTGTCATACCTTTCCCTGTTTGTGGTGGGAATGGGTAAGAATCAGAGGTATTACATGGTGATAAAATACAAATAAGCATTGATGGAGCCTGGAAATTTACTGCTGAAGATCAGAAGTGAAGCATACACATGAAATACACAAGTATATCCACTGAAGTAAACTGATGACATTTAAAAAACACTCTTAGTCAAAGATTAGGACACAAATTAACTGATAAATTCTTTGATTTCTTGTTTTAAATTGATTTCTAAATAGGAGCAGCTGAATAAAACCCATCTTGTAAAATTGTGATCATAACCATTGTAACATTTCTTTGATCATCTCTCAATTCACAGTTTTTAATATATGAACACAATGTCACACAACAGGATCAACCTAACACTCATCATGAGCAAATCACCTCAGGGATCCTAAATAATTTCTTTTTTTCCACAATAAACATCAAGCTCCAAACCTGACATTTCTTCATTCTCACTACACCACAGGTATTACCTGTTACTCCCTTCCATGGCTCCTGCTACCAAACCAATGGTTTAATTCCAACTTTCACAAATTCTGATTTCTTCTCACTCTGTTGTTTTGGGTTTTTTTAACCATTATGCAGACTGGTGTATCCCATCACATTTCAGGTCTTTTCCACACCAAATAAGCTACAGCAAACCTCTCAAGCTGGCTTCAAAACTACTGTTATTTCATTTCTCAGCTGACAGTTGACCTCCTCCTAGGACTTAGGATCATTACTCAACCCAAAACTTCTCTGCCCAACTGATCCCTGTCTAATACTTGCACACATTCCTCTTACCATGGTCTCTCCTTCATCCATTCCCTCTTCAAACCATACTTCCTGCATTATTTAAAGGACACATTTTACCATCCCTGCAGTTTCTCAAGGAGATAGAAACAGGAATAAATCTACAAGAATTTTCCTCGCTTATTATCTCACCTTTTTCAACGGTTGAACAATGTCACCTACATAAATTTCAACAGGCATCACTCACACAGATGACAGTTTTATCCATCTAGACCTGATCTCCTGCTGAGGATACAGAAATGCTGGTAATCTTCAATTGACTCTTATGAATGCCTAGCTGTCAACTCAAGTTCTACAAGGCTTTAACATGTGTTTCTCCAATGATTCCCTACATTTCATTCATCATAACACGCAGGTACCCAATCACCCTGAGCTGCAGTATAGACATCTTTGACACAAGCCATTTTCTCAGTCTTCTGTCTCAGATCTATCTCAACTTTTCCTGTACCATAGGTAAAACAGAGTAAGGTGTTTTTTCCATAAAACTGTCCAGCTAATGCTCTCCATCTGCAAACTTGCAATAAACAACTTCCAACTTTTCAACTAGTGCCTTTTTCACTCGTGACAACTGTCACAACAAAAGTCACCCTTGTGCCTACAGCCTTGACCCAGTTGCCTTTCTGTGTCAGTCCTGATAAGAACAATTTATTTGTTATCACTTCACTTTCAATCTTCTCTCTTATCACTTTTCACTCTCTATCAAGAAATTTAGGTCAAATTGGCCATTTATACCTGTTCCCACTCTCCATGTGCTTAACATTAACAAGTGGTTTTTTTGGTTTCTCCAGTTTTGTCCACCATGCCTTATATGCACCTGCAAAGCAACCTCATTCTTTTCCTTGGAGATCCTCCTTTGCTGGTCTGGCTAAAAAACCACATGAGACACAAGTCCAAGTCATTAATATGCTGGAAAATGCTGCCAATGAGGTGATAAATATTGTTTTGTCTCCTTAAACTTCTGTAACCATCGCTTTCTTTATGCCTAACCAAGAGATCCCACTAGTCACAACTCAATGTTTTACACACAACTATGCAGAAACAAATCATCTTTCAAATGGGTCTGATAGCCTTTCTTCTAAATGAGCTTGGTCTGGCTGTCCTAGAATCCACCTTGACCTCACTACTTGTGTTTTGCTATTTAAGTTACACTCCCCTAGTACAGTGTGCAATTACTTATGACTGGAATAAAACTAGACCACCACCCCAAAAACAGCTGATGTAGCATGTGGATTCTTAGTTAAGATAGGGTCTAGAAAGCCAAAAATTCCAACTGCTGAACAAAGTCTTTGCCTCACCATTTTTCTACAACCTTACTGAAAAAAAACCCAACCTTTTTTTTCATCTTCAGCTAGTAAATTAAAAAAGTAGACAGTTAAGTAAATCCTCTTTAACAATTTTTGTGGACACAAGAACTACATCTCTTTCAACTATTACTTCATGCTACCAAGACCTGAAACACCACAGCTTGAGAAGAAATAAATACACCCACACCTCCATTGCCTTATGCCCAAGCTAAGTTACTAAGTCAGGCAGCTGATAATATTTACTGTAAAAACAATAACAAAGTCCATATAAGTAGGCATTTCCTGATATCCTACACACACCAAATTGAGTTATTTAAGCTATCAGAAAGGAACCAGACAAGTACTATTTAAGGACATGTTGAAACATTGGAATTGAAAACAAGTTTAAGATTATATTCCAACAGTAATATTGATGTATTCTACTACAAAAAAAGGAAGTGAGTTCTGTG